GGCACATTTTATTTTATTATTTTATTTTTATTTTTTTGAGACAAGGTCTCACTATGTAGTCCAGGTGGGCCTTGAACACACTATGTAGCCTATGCTGGCCTCAAATTCACAGTGATCCTCCTGTCTCAGCCTCCCTGAGTTCTGGGTTACAGGTATGAGCCACCACACCTGGCACTACTGGTACATTTTAGATATATAATGATAATATTCATCACAGAGAATTTGTACCTGTACATGATATATTGCTTCTTTTTTTCCCATTCCTCTCCCCTCCTTAAAACCTTCTTCCCCTTCCTTATTTACAAATTTTTTTTCATTTTTCCTTCTAGTCTCTTATTTTCTTGTTCCTTCCTTCCTTTCACCCTCCCCCCTCCCTTATTCCCCTTCTCATTGGAACATTTTCTTCCCATTTCCCAATATCTATTATGCATTTTGGTCCTTACTTACACTTTTGGTTTCTCATACCAGAGAAACAATGACGTATTTAAACATGTGTCCAATTTATTTCACTTAACAGTATGGCCTCAAGGTGCATCTATTTAGCTAGAAATATCTCAGACTTATCCTTTATGGCAGAGTAGTACTCCATTGTATAAAAAACCCACATCTTCTTTAGCAATTCATTGGTTGATGAGCATGTGGGCTGTTTCCAAGATTTAGCTATTACAAACTGTACCAGGAATGGAACTCAGGAAAAAAAAAAAAAAAAGACAGGAGGAAAAAAAGAAAAAAATGTCCACTTTAGGACATGTCTCTTCTGTCACTGGTAGACAGTGTGGGCAGACAGAGGCCAGCTCCATGTTGATTAATCCCAGCAAACCAGTGGCAGATTTACACCAGGGTAGTGGATAATGCCAGCAAGACTGCACCTTTAGTTCCACTGAAGTTCAGGCTGGTTTCTGGCTGTGAGGCTGGAGCCCCATTTGTTCAGCCTGCAACACTTTGAGTGCCTCCAGCCAGCTTGAATTTGGCTCCTTGCTGGCTTCAACTCAGTTCCACCGGACCCTGACACTGGGAGCCGCTAGATGGAGCCAGCCTGCAGCTGCTCTGAGGGCCAGGCTCAGCGGGCCTCTCTCCAAGATGGCTACTGGCCAATCTCCCTCTCCTGGGTGTGTCTGAACCCTAATACCTCACCAGCCACTGCAGTCTGCCGCACCCACTGCTCTGTTCCACTGGTGCTTTCCTGCTACCCACCAGTGGTCACTGTGGGTCTGCAGGTTTGAGCCACTCCTCCCATGCAGTGAGTCAGGGCTCAGGGCAAAAGTGCCACCTGCCACCTCCTTCTGCACTGAGGTCTCTCCTTTGATCTCCCAGGAATCTTCAATTCTTGCTTTGGATCTTTGCTGGGTTCCAGGGACTCTCTTCCTTCTTCTTTCTCTTCCTCATGTTGCTATATTCCAGGGTTCAGACATCAAATCTCAGAGAGACTGTTTCTCTCCTGCTCACCACTCTTCCGTCTTCCCACAGCTTTATTTCAACTTTACTTTTGTAGATAAGATAAATGAAACTCACGTAGACAAAAGTTGTTCAGGGTTATCAATAATTTTGAACTACACAGAAGTGTCTCTTGAGAACTGCTGGATTAGTGGACAGACACTAATACAGTTGACTGAGTTATAAGGCCAGAGATCAAACATAGTATAAACCAAACCTGCAGTGGTGACCTTTGTCTTTTTTTTTTTGTCTTTTCTGAGACAGGGTCTCGCTATGCAGTTCAGGCTGGTCTTGAGCTCACTTTGTAGCCCAGGCTGGTCTCGAACTTGCAACGATCCTCCTGCCTCAGCCTCCCAAGTGCTGGGATTACAGGCATGTGCCACCATGCCCAGTTGCAGTGGCCACCTTTGATGGGGCACATGGTGGACTTTCTAGAACAGAAGGGACCTGAGTCTAAAATCTGAAGGTGGAAAAGAATTTAAGCTGGAAGAACTTAGGGGTTGGGCAGAGAATAGTGGAAGTTTGGGACTTAGCACTGAGGCAGAAGGAACCTGGGTTGTAACTTGTTTTGACCAGGACCCGGCTTGGTCAGACCTGGGTCTTATAACCCCAGAATTTGGGAGGCTGAGGCAGGAGGATCTCCATGAGTTCAAGGCTAGCCTGAACTGCATCGTGAGACCCTAATCTTAAAAGAAGGAGGAGAAGAGGAGGAGGAGGAGAAGGAGGTGGAAGTGGAGGAGAAAGGAAGAGGGAGAGGAGGAGAAAGAGGAGGAAGAGGGAGAGGAGGAGAAAGAGGAGGAAGAGGGAGAGGAGGAGAAAGAGGAGGAAGAGGGAGAGGAGGAGGAGAAGGAAGAGGAGGAGAAGGAGAAAGAAGTAGTAGTAGTAGGGGTGGTGGAAGAGGAGGAGGAGCAAGAAGAGGAAGAACTGGGTCTGAGGACAGCCTGCACTGTGGGACAGACGGTAGGAAGAGGCCAGGAAGCTTCCCTGTGGTGTGCTGCTGCCGGTACATGCGTGCCTGGCTGCCTGAACAGGATGTGTGCAGGTGGCTGCTTGGTGAAAATGTTTTGGGGAGATGGCAAGCTGTCCCTGGAGAGATCAGGTCAGTGTAGGGGCACGGCATACATAAAACACAGCAAGAATGAACCCGAAGACGGATCCCTGGACTCTGATGAGTTGCGTCCCTTCACTCCTGCCAGCCCTGGAAGGTGAGGCCAGGCAGGAGTCTTTGCCTGAAGCTGTACAGCTGGCAAGGAGCAGGGCTGGATTTTAGAGATAGGTCTAGGGTGGGAACAGAGGCCCTGTGGGCAAGGACACAGGCAGAGGCCTGCGCTGGAGCCCTGGTGTGACGAGGATGGGCAGGAGGCTGAGCTGGGAGGTTTCAGACCTCAGCAGCTGAGGCCTGGGTCTCCTGCTTCTGTCTTCCATGCTCTTGGGTTCCTTTTCTTCCTCCTCACAGGTCCCAGGGCCCTGGCCTTCTTGCATCTCCCGCTGCCTTTCAGCCAGCTCTGCGGTGGACACTGTCCCTCTGAGCCCTGTTTCCCTTGCTGCTGCAGAACTGTCTTCATGGGTTTTCTTGCTGTCTGCTTTCAATACGGTCGAAAAGCAAAGCAGTGCCGCATGATAACTTGGTTTCGGCACAAGGGTCTGCCATTCCTGGGGTAGCTCATGGGGCTATGCTCTCTTGCCTCTGGCTATGGATCCCTGAGGTGCCCTCCTGCTAAACCATCTCCTGTTCACACTCTGCATGTCACCTATCAGCAGATGGGGCAAGGCCGGCCTGAGGCCAGTGATACTGCTCTGTCTAGGACTCCAACTTTCCAGTGCTCCATTCGGCTGGTTTTCCAGCTCAGACCTTCTGCCCCAGACAGCCTGGCCTCTTCTCTGTTCCTGGAACACTGTGTTCAACCTCCTCTCCATTCTCTGGTAACTGGGAATATGCCCCCTTTTCCTCGCTCACAGGGCCAGTACTGTGAGTGTGCATTAGGCCCTGCCCCAGCTCTAAGTCTCAAATACACGCCTTCCTCTCCTTGCTGTCTGCCACCCCGGCTCTGAGCTCCATCCCTGGTTCCTAGGTCTCCCCTTGTCTCCAGAAGCCTGGAAGACAGCAGCTCAGTCATGGCCAGCTCACTATCATCTCCAAAAGGCAGGCCGCCTCGCCTTGATTCAGAATGCCCATCGGGTGGCCCTACCTCTGTAATTCTGTGCAGTTGGGGCAAAGCTTACCTACTTTACTTTCCTCACCTGGTATATGGTTTACCAGGTATGTGGTTTGGGAGAAAGGAGGCAGAAGGGTCCTTCTGAGGCTGGGGGATTGAACATTTGCTGAGGATCACCCACCGTGAGAATTTCAGTGGAGATCTAACGGTGCAGTCTTGGAAATGGGGGTGGGAGAGAAATGGACATTTGTCAGACATCTACTATGTGCCATACCCTGGCACAGAATCTTGCTGTATAGGCCTTGAACATACTATGTAGTCCAGGCTGGTCTGGAACTCATGATGATTCTCCTGCCTCAGCCTCCTGAGTACTGGGATTACAGGTGTGGGATACCACGCCTGGCAGAGTGGTCACTTTAAAAAGAGGTATTGAACACTTGGGGCTGTTAACCCTGGAGAACTCCAGAGAGCAGCAGCTGAAAATCACTGACAAAGCTGGCAGTCAGCAAGAATTAGCTGGGAGCGGCAGAGACCAGCTGCTGGCAGTGTCGACTGGTGCAGCCCAGCATTAAGTGGTGTTGATGGTGGCATCAGGGCCCAGATCTATAACACTAAGGGCTGAGGGCCAGTCTGCTAGCAGACATGCACCTTGCTGCTCCATGAATGCTACCTGAATGGAGCAAAAGAACCTTCAATTTACTGGCAACACAGGTAGAGCATGTCGATTTTGCGGCTGCCGGTGGCTTGCACGGGCCTTCTCTAGTGCTCAGCATCCTCACTGCCAAAATGACAGCATGGACAAGGTGACCTCTCTGGTCCCAACTCTAAATATTTATAGAAACAAATAGGAATTTTTCTGAGCACCACTTCCTTAGAAAATTCTATAAACTGGAACCAGGGAAACATGGGTATGTAAGTCTCAACCTGAACGTATATTTGGAGGAAAAGTGACCTGCAATAAAAACACTGAGCTCTCAGAGACCTTCAAGAACCACTAGCCCAGTCCCCTTGATTTGCAGCAGAGGCACGGAGGACCAGCGAGAAAGTTGTTCTCGTTCAAGGTCACAGAAGAGCACCTCCCCTGGGAGAGGCCTGCAGGCTGGCCAGCAAAGACTCAGGTAAGAAATTCAAGTTGCTAGGAGGCGAGGCTTTATGACAAAGGTGTGTTTGGAGTCTGTAAAGTGGGAGGGCCTGTTGCCATGGGGATGAGAAAGCAATGCAGGTTAAGTAGCAGAGGGAAGGCTGGGAACCAGAGCAGAGGTCCGAGCCCCTGCAGTCATTACTGACTGTCCCCTTTGTTGGGAGACAACAAAGATAATGTTATGGGGCGGGCCTCTACCTCCAGTGAAAAACTAGTCGAAGGAAAAGCACAGTAACAACTTACCTTTATGGGCCTCACTACCCTCTTGGCTACAAGCCTAATGTTTCCATTTTAAAGAGGCTGCTGTGCACCTATGGCTTGGAGGAAGTCAGCAGCCTTTACAATCTTATTCTGAGTCAGGCCGTTCCCAAATTAGGTCCAGGAAGTTGGAGGCCCTCAGGGAGCAGTCAAAGGGTTTGTGTCACTGTTTCCACTTTTGGCAAATGTCCCTAAATTCTCTGAGTGTCCCCCTCTGTGCGGTGGGCTTGTCAGCCGCCCAGAGGCCTCCAGTAACAGCAGATGCTTGTCTCAGTGAGGATGTGAGAGAGAGTCTTGAATGTTCAAGATCTGGAGCAGTAGAGCTGAAAAGTACCCCAAGGTGTAAGCATAGCTCAAGGCTTCAGCTCCCCTAGCTGTAAGATCTGTGGCAGCAACAGAGAAGCTAAACAATAGTAGAAACCAAAAGGAAAACCGAGACAGTGTCCCTCAGTGCCCCAAAGAGGTTTTTTTTTGTCGTTGTTGTTTTTGTTTTCAGTACTAAGGATTGAATCCAGGGCTTCACACAAAGCTACATCCCCAGCCCCTTTAAGAATTTTGAGGCCCAGTCTGGGCTCAAACTTCTGACCCTCTTGCTTCAGCTTCCCAGAGTGCTGGGATTATGGGTGTGCACAAACACATCAAGCCAAAGAGCTAATACTTTTAAGGGGTTAACTCTGAAGTCTTTCTTAATAAAGCTCTTTTAGGGGTCAGGAATGTGGATTAGGGTAGAGTGCTTGCCTAGCATGTGCAAGTCCCTGGGTTTCACCTTTGGGCTGGGGGAAAAAAAAAAGGCGAAGGGAACCAACTCTTTAACAAAGTTATTTCTCACTCTGGGAGGCTGAGGTAGGAGGAATGTGAGTTTGAGGCCAGTCTGAGCTACAGAGCAACTGCAAGTTTGAGGCCAGCCTGGAACACTGTAAGACCCTGTTTCAAAACAAAACTGACAATAAAAAAGAAAAACCCTGACAAATATGGTGTAGGTGTTTGATTCTTTTTTTTTTTTTGGTACCAGGAATCAAACTCAGGACCTTGCACTTGCCAGGCAGGCGCTTGTGCTGCTGAGCTGTATTCCCAGCCCAGGGTAGGTGTTTTGAGTCTCAGAGGTGAAGCTAAGATCTTTATTAAGAAGTAGGCCTCCATCATCCCCACTCAGATGGAGCAGCTGCTCCCGATCGAGCTGCACTGTGCTCGCATCCACTGAGAGGGCTGCGTTAGCTGCTTATGGGCTGCATGGTGTCCACATTTCAGCAGAGAACGAGAAGTACCCCCAGCTGTTTCGTGTAAAGAAACTTGTGTCAGATGTCAACTGGCCCGCTGTGAAATGGTGTCATGTAGGACAATGTCCTTATTTAGGTGTGTGCTGAGGTCTTCAGAAGTATGATGATACCTCACCTCTTAATGTTTTGGCTACAATAATAAAGTATAAACAAAGGTGGAAAAAATGTAATTGGTGAATCCAGATGCATACAGTGTCCAAAATACATAGTACCTCATTTTTGGTTTTTGAGACAAAGTCTTGCTATATATAGTTCAGGCTGGCCTTGAATTTGCAGTGATCCTCCTGCCTCGGCCTCCTGAGTGCTGCTGGGATCACAGGCATGTGCTACCATGAGTGGCTTTTTTATAGAGAAGTTTAAACAGTGGGTAGGTAAAAATTTCCCAATCTGAGGACTCACAGACTGGATGAAGCAATGAAATACACGGCCTTTCAGATGCTAGGAGCCCTTCCTGGGTTCAGACCCCTTCCAAATGAAGATTCCATCATTTACCAGGTTCTTTCTCAAAGCTATTATTTATTCTGTACAAGGTTCCACTGTACATCAGACATTCTTCTACTCTTGCTTACATGGTAAACAAGTGTACGAATACCAGCCCTTGGGCTCAGTTCACAGGTCTTCTCTAGAGAGAGGTGTCAGGCCAGGTAAGCTCAGGGTGTCTCTCTGGTGCCCCCCCAGGCGCTCTGGGATGTGCCGGGTTCAAGAGGCATGAGGCGGACCCAGCTGGGGGGTGCGCAGAGTGCACTACACGCCAGGCCTTACTGCACAAACGCTCTGCGCTCTGGGACTACAGTTTTGTCCGATGACCCAGGGCAGAGTCCAGCCCATGGGAAAGAATCATATGCTGGAGGCAAGATGTCCCCAGACACCCACGCTCCAGCTCCCAGCAGGACCAGCGTGCAATGCCGAGGAGCCGAGGGGCGGCCCAGCATCCCTGAGAAACTCGATCCAGAGGGCCTGTGTCTAGGAAGCTCTGAGAAGGGCGGCGGCAGGAAGGCAGGGGGCAGGGACGTTAGGGACAGAATAAATTAAAGGTGAGAGAAGCTCTAGGGACAAGGGACTTGTGCTATCCTTCAACAGCTGGGGAGTAGACCGGGGTGGGTAAGAGGTGGTGGGCAGGAAGAACGCGACGCGCCGTGGTGAGAAATCTCCTTGGACCTACTTCTCTCTTTGCCTCACTGCCATGTGCCGCATGCCAGGGGCAGAGGGCAGGGCCCGTGTCCCCCTGTGGGTTTGGACATGGCACTGGGGAAAAGGGAAGAGGCTGAGGGATATTTCAGGGAGGGGCAGTTACCCCCTGGTCCCCAAATGCTATAAGGCACAATTCTCGGAGGCAACTAGAATCGGTCCAAACATTACAACAAAAGCAAAACGCCCAGGAATTGTTTAGATCCCAGGTCTACTGTGGCTACCTCGGGCCTGGCCGACACCCATCTAGCACCACGGGGGGGCTAGCGTTAGAAGAGGTGTACGTGAAGAATTAAAAAAAAAAAAAGGCAAGGAAAAAAAAAGCACCAACCCGAGGTCCCAGCTGTGAAGAGATGTGAAGAAGCGTGCCTCCAGTCACAACACTTTCGTTACAGTAATTTAAAAAATGTCGGGCTTTTAAAAACCCCAACCAGCCTTTTTTAAAAAAGACGTTCCTTCCTCCGGGCCACTGGAGTCAGCAGGGTTAAGACGGCTCTTGGCTCAAGGGTGTTTCCTGCCCTGGCCCAGAAAGCAGGTCCGGTGGAGACCGAGGCGGTTCCTCCGCGGTGCCAGGATCCGGGCAGCAACGCTCCCAGCAGGCTCCAGAGGGCGCTGTCTTCCCAGAAGGCTCGGGGCTGGAGAGAGCAGCAGGTGGACACGGATCCTCTCCCGACAGACCGCTGTTGTTTATTACACACAGGAGAAACCACAAGCTGAAAAATGCAAACTAGAGAAGCCGAGCGAGCACGGCGCTGACTCCGGTCTCTGTGTCCAGTTGGTCTTTCCCGTCAGGCGTGGCTCAGGGGCACCCGGCTCCTTGCTCCAGACCCTGACCAGGCTGCATCAACTCCTGCTCCGCAGCTTTATTTTAGTTTATTTTTCTCTTATTTGTCAGGGTTTTTTGTTGTTTTTGTCTTTTTAAAAAACTTAGGGTGTGAGGCCACCACAGGGAAAGGGGAAGGGATGTAGCTCCTCACTGCTACATACGAGAGGGTGGACTGGCCAATTCGTAGAAGAGCAAATAGGCGTCGCTGGTGCGTACTTGGCTGGAGGACATGGGTGTGACGCTGTGGAGAGAGCAGGGAGAAGTCAGAGAGGCTATCAGGGACGAGGCGGAGTGGTAAGGAAGAGGCCTGTCTCTAACTTCTGTACAACAAACCCCAGACCAGCCTGTCTTTCCAGAGCTTTTGAATGAGCAGCAGACATGTGTGTGTCATGCAGCTTTCTGGCCTTGACCTCTGCTGTCCCTTCAAGGTGGAAGCCATGCAGACGAGGGAGGCGCGGTGGTCCCCCAAGAGTGCTGCCCGAGCCCTGGCTCACCTGGAGTCATTGAAAGTGTGCCATTCGCCTGTTACTGGACTCCGGCAGTAGGCTGTATAGTGGCCACCCATGGTGGTTCCGGAGTGGTTGGACACAGCGTACAGGTTGTAAACAGCGTGGTCTGAGGAGGAGACACAAAGGATGAAGCCATGCAGGCGTAGCTTGCTCCAGGTTTCCTCCTTTAGCCTTATTCCCAGTCTTTTCCCACCTTGTGCGCTTCCTGCCGCCGATCTCCCTCCCACCTGTGCCCGGACTCATCCCTTAATACTCAGAGATACTCACTGGTGTTTTCTGAGGCGAATTCTCTCAAGTCCAGGTCTCTTAGTGGGAAATTCACAAATGTTGTGAGCTTGCTGGTTCGTATCCTGGATTCTGAGAACCGCTTCAGGTCTGGGATTCATGTGAATCAAGGACAGACAGTGCAAAGAGGCCAACCAGCGGGACCTGAGTTCCACAGGGACCACTGCACTTTCCTCAGAAAGCAGAAAAGCAGGGGCCAGAGATATGGCTCAGCAGCACAGCACCTGCCTGGCAAGTGCATGTCCTGAGTTCAATTCCCAGTACCCCCCCCCTCAAAAAAAGGAAAAACATACACAAGGACATCCACAAATTTTTTTTTTTCTGCTCTGTTCCCCTTGCCTTTTGGTCCCTGGTCATCAGTTACTCTCAAAAATCAGATCCAGGGGCTGGGGATGTAGCCAGGCGCAGCACGCTTACACGATATGCACTAAGCACAGGATTTGAGCCCCAGTAAAGGAAATTAATCAGGTTCCTGCCCTGATGGACCTTAAGGATACGGAGCACCAAGATCTTTGGGAACCTCTGGATGGAGAACTTCTTTATACATCGTTTTCTAGCTCGGCAACGACAGCATGTCTGGAAGACAAGACAAATGGAGCAGAGGAAGGAACCTGCGGGAGACACCAGCTCCCCAGCTGGACCCGCCCCAGCTCGGTCCCTCGGGACTCTGTGCTCCTTCCACTGACGGGCGACTTACTGGCTTCTCATCACCATCAAGCACATCCTCTTTGGTAAAGAGCCTCATGCAGTCCATCAGTGTCACCTCAGGGTAACCTCGCTGGAGGGACAAGAGCAAAGGTCAGGGTGGACGATGTGGAAGGACAGGTGTGGGTGCTCCGAAGCTCGGGCCAGAGGCTGCATACCTTAGCAATGGGCAGGGAGAGGTCCCAGAAGGGATCGAAGACCGTAGAACAGTAACCACAGTCGGTGCATGTCAGGGAGCTCTTCAGCTGCCCAACGAAGAGATCTGGGGAAGAGAAGGCCAGAAGCTGCTGAGCACGGGGTGGGCCCTGGTCGCCCTTCTCAGTGCTCCTGCCCCAGCTTGTTGGACGTGGGCAGAGGCAGGGTTCCCTGGGAAAATGAGCCCCATGGGCTTTTCATGCTCTGCTCAGGCAAAAGCGGACATCAAAGAACGCAGGCCTTTCCCCCTGGAGAGTACTGACCCCCGATCCGACTGTCTTCCCGCTCGAGGTATTTCCTCCACATCTGTCGCCCCTTTTCATCGTCACTGGGAACAGAGAGAGGAAGACAACTGGGTCCGTGCTCAGACCATGTTACGTTTAAGGGCCTGTCAATCTAGATCTTTCATCTTTGAAAGCAAATCTAAGTCTCTTCAAAAATCATTCATTACTCTCAAAAAAGTAGGTAAAACACACCAGCTCCCAAAAGTTCTGCTTCCCCCCAGCATTCTCCTCTTACTTACGGGAGGTGATCAAGGTTCTCAGGGTTGGACTTGGGCCTCACTGTTACTCGGTTCACTTCATTGTGGAGCCCATCCAGGAGAAAGCGAAGGAACTCTTGAGCATCCTGCTGACTGAACCCAAAGAGAAGAGTCAGCAACACCTCTGCACCAAGACCCTGCGCTTGCTGCCACCCGGCCCAGAGGACATGCTGCAAGGGCCTCACTTATAGCCAACGAAGCGTGGTGCGTATCTCTGGATCTGGGTCTTGAACTCAGATGGGCTCACCACGTCGTTGGGGCATGAAGTCCATATGGTCTGGATTAGCTTTGCAAACTCTGTCGTAAGGAGAGGGCAGAGGGGGTGCAGAGGACAGGTGAGATTTTTTTGGTGTTTATTAGTACATGTTTGCTGCACCTAGTGATGACATTTACTGTGGGAAGTTGGTGCCTGTACGTAACACATTTTCATTTTGTTTTTACTTCTACCTGCCCTCCCTTTCCTCCTACTCTCTCTGTCTCTTGTTCCCCTTGACATTTGCAGAGGATACATCTCCCTGTTTTGTATTATCTGAGATATTTTCTATTAAGAAACCCTGAAACTAGAATTCCAACAAAGTGGAGGCCAAAAAAAAAAAAAAAAAAAAAAAGGAAAAGAAAAAGAAAAAAAGAAAAACAGAGGAGAGCGCATCTCAAATCAATGGAACTCAGTAGAGTGGCCTGTGTCAAGAGGGGATGCAGGGTTGGGTCCCGCGGGTGTCTCACCTTCCATGAGGGCTGTGTGCACACTGCTGGTGTGGCAGAGGTCCCGCATGTAGAGCCTCTGCAGACAATAATCTCTCAACTCCCGGGTGTTGCTCAGGCACTGCAGAATGGAGTTCATGAAGCACTGAAAGAGATAAGCCAGACCATCAGCAGGTTCCATAGTTTGTATCTTAAGGGTCACCCAAAGGCCTGTGTGTGCGAGGCCTTGGTCCCCTGCCTGGAGACTACTGGGGAGTAGTGGAAACTTCAGGAGGTGAGGCCCAGTGGGAGGCCTTCAGGTTAGTAGGGGGTGTGTCCTCCAAGGGCATGGTGGGACCTAGTCCTTTCCCACTTGCTCTTCCTGGTCCTGGCTATGAGGTAAATGGTTTTGCTCCTCCATGTCCTATTCTACCGTGACATGCAGTCATTGCCCAGACCTGAAGCCACTTGACTATGGACTGAAAGATCCAAAAATGTGAGCCAAAATAAGCTTTTCTTTATGAGTTGGTATACTGCAGGCATTTGTTACAGTCACTGAAAGCTGAATAACAAAGTAGGGGAGCTAAGACTCTCATCTAGTATCTCTGTTGTTTAGCACCCAAAGGCTCTGGTTCATGGACTCGGAAGGGACCCTCTCACAGCTTCAAGTTCTTTTTTTTCCTAAGTGAAAGCGATGAAGTGAGGCAAATCCCCACCATAGGCGTGGATGACACAGCAGGTTATTTACTGTAGAGGTGTGCAAAAGGGTGTGGGTGCTCAGGACAGAAGTGGATGGGAAATGATGGGTGTCCTTGAGGAGAAGTCAGAAGAGCTGCAAGCTGACAGCTAAAAGGGCAGCTTCCTTTTAGCAGTGCTTCCTGCTGTGTGTGGGTGAGGAAGGGACCAGCAATCCTGTGCAGCACCAGGAAGGGCAGGTACCAACTGCTTTAGCGGGTAGTCAGCTGGAGCCAGGAGGGGACTTCCGGATCAGCCCAGTCAAAAGGGTAGAAGGGGACCCCGGGAAAGAGGTGGACTGGGAAGAACTCACCGTATTCCCAAGGTTTCGAAGCCCAGCCAGACCCTGGGCACTCTTAGAATTCTGTAAGCAAAGAATACATAGCATTACAGATGAGGCAAAGAGGGTGAGCCTGCGCTAGGCTCTCTTACGCAATGTGCTGCTGGTTGCAGCCATCAGCAACAGTTCACAAGTATCTTTCTCTCTTCAGCCTTAGTCTATGTATCTCGGAGGAAAGACCGAGGAAAGGCTGTTATTTCTCAAAACATAAAAAATATTCTTTGGGACTTTGCTTTCAGGACTATTTCTCTCCATTTTAATATTATTTTCTATTACAATAGAGGCTTATGATTAGAACTAGAGAGTAGCCATTCATAGATCTGGGGACATATCTGATTCCTGGTTGCAATAAATTTTAAGACGTAAATCTAGGCGCTATCTCAAATGACCTATATTTGTACTAGGTGCCCAATATACACAACAGCTATCATAATGGTTACAGCTTTAAGGTGGTTACAGAAAGTTAAATGGCAAAACACCCTAATTGAGTTTCCATCATCAGCTGGGAAAAACTCAAATCTCTTCAGCTTGGAAAAACTCAAGTCCGCCTGCCATTCTGAATTGTCAGAGACAGGTGGAATTCCTTCTGGCTGAGCTCAGCTCCTAAGGGCTAATTAAAGGCTGGGAGAATCCTCCCTGCCTGGCTCTGGTTTCAACATCCTGACTGGCCACTGGCTGGGGCGCCTTATGATGGCAGACTGCGCCAAGTAGAAGGAAGCACCTGGCTGGAGGTGCCACTCTTCCTCTTGTCTTGATTGTGGAGGGTGGTGAGGGGGTTGGAGAGAGAACAGGTGCTAGATCATGAACTGCACGCATTGTTTGTCAAGGTTTTCTCATAATCTGGGGCATACCTCCAATGAGTCAGAAAACCTTCAGGTCCAAAGGGTTAAGGAACAGTTTGCAGATGAGTCCGCCACCCCCTCTTCTCAGGGAGGGGACCTGGGAGCAGGCAACTCTGGAGCAAGACTGGCTGGGGCATGCGTGGGGCCAGCTCAACCCTGATCAGAACAAGAGCCTGAAATAACTCAGCTAAAATTACTCATGCTGTGTGCTGTCAGCCTCATAGGCTGTCAGCAGCTCAAAGCCCCTGAGATTGTCAGCTTGAAGGGGGGGGGTTGGGCTGAGGATGAACAGGCTGAAGGAGGGCTTCTCTTAAGAACTGCCTCGCTTAGCCTACATGCAAGAGGATCCCTCCTCTGGCCAGTTGTCAGGGCTAACGCTAAGAGGAAGGGAGGAAAACACACTCAGGAGAGAGACCTGGATTAAACCTGCAGCTCGAGTGTGAGCATCCCTGCTGAGCTTGCTAGGACTAGCAGTATGTGGGGTACCAAACAAAATTCGCACCTTATCTAAACGATAGTCTAGAGCCCCCAGTGTTCAAGTAAGAGGGTCGCCACAGAGATGATTCCCCTGCGGCAAGGATCTTATCAGCATTTTTAGGCAGAACTGGTGAAAGACTCTCTCAGGGTCCAACCAAAAATGCTGCACAAGTCTCCATGTTGCCCATTTGGAACCAAACTGAAATGCTGAAGTGTGCCCACACAGAATGCCCACTCTTACACCTATTTTTGGCAGTGCTTACCCCCTGTGCCTCAGACGACATCTGTCTAAACAGGTTGTAGCTGCAAAGCATTCTACCACTGGTGACTGTGGCCATGTCCGTCAGAGCAGGGCCCTTGGCTGAGACAATATCACTGGGGATGGGAGACAGGTGTCATCTGTCTACAGGGGCACTCCTGTTTTCACTCTTACCCAGCAGCATGAGGGCCAAGAGCACTCAGTCCTCTACGGTTCTTATTCTGAGGATCTAAAACTTCTATTGGCCTGAAGGTGGGGGAGATGGGAGAGGCTCCTTTAAAGCATCATTAGGACCTGCTGTTGATTCTTTTGGTTTGTTTTAGGGTGGGAATCGTGCTTTAGTCTAAACTTTCCTGAGCTCAGAACCACATGCCGATTCTTAAGCCTTCTGTGTAGATGGTGGAGGGCTACGGGGAGTTGGGGGATGGAGTGGAGGGGGGAACAGGGCTGCTGCATACCCAGCCTGATATTCTGCCACGAACAAGGAATCAGGAGCTCCAGGGAAACTCAGCACTTTCCATTACACAGAGGGACGAAATGTCCCAGGAGTGACCTTTCTTACAGGGCAAACAATCCTACCTCAGGGCTGGTAGGGAAAGAGAGAGAGGCTAGAACTGGAGGAGGTGGGACAGAGACCCTGCACTGCCAGCCTCTCACAGGAAAGCAGGGGAAGCGACTCCAGCTGTTACCATGGGACTTCTGTGCAAAGACTCCAGAAAGTTTGGATCCGCTGCTTCCTAACACTCAGCCATCCGCAAACCTGGTTTGATCAGTAGCAAGCACTGTTCTAGACAGCAGATGCCACCTTCACAGCCACTAAACAGGCAGCATTCCCCTTCTATGGCAGGAGCAGGGGCTCAGAGAGTTAATGCAGAGGTGGTACCTATAGGACGGTTCAAAAAAGGGTGACTGAGGTCTCATCTTCACACTGCAGACTCCAGTCAAGGGCCTTCCTGCGCACCTCACCTGTGCCACAAGGGTCAGCCCTGCATCCTGGCTGCAGCCAAGGAGCCCAGTGTGGCCCTGGCACGGGGCTGGGCACGCACTGCCAACATGGGAGCCGGTGCCTGTTACGTAAGACCTGTCAAGCTCAGGCCCCTTCTCCCTTCCCTATGGGGACAGCGCCCAGCCCTAACCCCAGCACTCCTCTGGGCAGCTGTTTCAATCCACGGATTCGCTGCCCACTTTGAACAACTGGAAAGGGCCAGGAAGAGAAGGAAGTTGCCCTCTTTCACCTGTCTGCAATTCCTCTGCCCTTCACAGGGTCAAAGGACCCTGTCAGTAAGCTCCGGGAGAAAGCCCTTTGGGAAAAGAAAGGTGCAGGCAGCCCCTCTGATCTGCCTTCCTTGGTGGGGACTGGCCTTGCAGGAGTCACTCACAAAAGCCAGTGTGCTATCCCCTGCCTGTTCCCGCACGCGCCAGCTCTGGTCAAGGTTACGCTTTCCTGCACCTGTCCTGCTAGGTGCCGGGAAAGAAGAGGCCAAGAGCTACCCGGTGCCTGGGTCTTAGAGAGAGGGGGTGGGGGGCTTGGACCTCAACGACAGGAGGGGGCTTCAAGTAGGCTTGTGGTCACCTGGCAAGAGGCATTCGTGGTTGGGGGACCCTGGGAAGGGTAGGGTGGGGGCTGGGAAGAACCCGAGCCCCTCGCAGAGGGACGCGCAGCCGGCTGGCTGGGGGAGTCCTGGGAGCAGAGAGGACTCGGCGACCCCCTCAGTCCCGGAAAAGGGCCCGCGTACCTTAGCTTTGTTGAGCAGAAGCCCCACGAAGGTGGAGAGCAGCAGGGATGGGGAGAGAGGGGAGCGCGGCCGCAGCTCCTTGGCGAGGGCGGGGAAGGGGGCGGCGGGGGGCTCCTCGGGCAGGGTCACGGTGTAGGAGGTGCGCATGCTGGGGGCGGGCGGCGGGCTCGGCCCCACGCCTAAGGCTGGCCAAGGGGACGCGGGGAGTCCCCGCACGGCGCCACAGTCCGGACACCAAGGCCGGCAAGGCTGCCACGGGACACGGTCCTCGGTGCCCGGCAGTAACCGTTACGGCTGCCCAGCCGCGCGCTGCTCCGCCTCAACCTCCCCGCCGAGAGCCGCCAACCGCCCGGGCCCGCTCTCGCTCTCCAGCCCACTGGCTGCCAAGCCGGCGCCTCGGGCCCCGTGACTTCGCGCAGGGGCGGGGCCAGGCAGAAGCCCCGCCCCACCCCGCCTCCAGCACGCGGACCAGAGCGAGGTCGCAGGGCCGGCGTGGCCCGCACCTCCCGCAGGTTACCTAGCGTCCGCGCCCATCAGCTCCCTGCAAAGAGCTGCAGGCTCTAGGGAAGGGCCTGGGACTCAGAGCAAATCGCCTGGAGGCCCTTCGTCAAGTTGGTGAGCTTTCGCCTGGGCAGCACACAATTTCCAATTTTTGGGTCGCGGGGAGGCTGGGGAGCTGTACATCATTTTGAGAACTTGACCGTTCAGTACTCTCTTCAGGGCAAAATGCACACTGCACAAACCTTCGTCCAGCATTCAAGGGGTCCCAGGCCCTCTGGACGCCCAACATCTATACAGTCCTTGGGACTCGGAGGGCCCAGGTTAAGAAGATAAATTTCCACGACCTTGGGACTGAGCTCCCCTTTTCCTCCTGGCCTAGTTTGGTCGCTTATCAAGAGAGGCAGTGCACCTTTAAAAGCAGGCCTTTTTGGCTTCAAGAAAGAACCTTCTCTGGCCTCTTCTAACCAATTACCCAATTTCATCTCTCCCAGAACCTCAAATTTGACTTCTGTGTGGCAGATGGGGAGAAAGGTGCTCTCTTAAACCATAAGTGCAGCAGTGCTTACAGACCAGGGGTCTTTGGGTGGGGGATATTTCTCATGCTGTGCCCCCTCACCTAACAGAAAAGCTCAGGAATCTGCCTAGAGAAAGTATCTTGTTTGGAGCTTGTTGGCTATTTTTAGCCAGTATTTTTAGCGCTTAAAAATACTCAGAGAGGCAGCAGCGTGTGCTGTTACTCATCTATGGGCTCCTTCTGTTCCTCCCGGCAGGCACATCCACACATGTACACGCGCACTGCACACACGACCACAGCCACATGAGGATTATTTCCGGGACACACGTGTGGACTGTACCCAAGGACACCCACAGCACAGCGATTTTGTGCTAATGGGAGGGAAGCAGGAGGAGTCCAAACCCTGGGCCCCTTCCAGCAGTGGAAGGGGAGGGAGGGCAGGGGAGGAGCTGCAGGGTGTTCTGCTAGGTGATCCTGCAAGGTGCACGTGTTAGGAGGTGTGATCGCCAGATCCTAACCCAACCTGCACCCTGAACACGCGGTGACAGCCCTTTTCTCCAGGTTTCCTTCTTTCCAACCACTCCCTTTCCAGCGGGTCTTACACTGTGGGCGCCAGTGTTGCATTTGATCACATCCCTCCTGCTCTGAACCAACTAGCATGCCTTGCACCCAGTCCAGACCCTCGGGTAGTCTGT